CTCACCACGCGTCTCTGCAAAGGGCAGGCAGGCAGCACCCGGAAGGAAACGCTGCCCCCATGCCCTGGCAGAAGCAGTTCCGGGTGGCTTTCAATTTCGAAAGAGCGTCCAGCAGTCTGGACGCTCTTTTTCGAAAAAGCGGATCGATATTTCGATCCGCGCATTGTAGTCTAGATGCGCTCTTTCGTAAGATGCTTTCGAAAGAGCCTCTTCCGAAAGAAGCCTGCAGTCTAGACATAGCCATAGTGTGCCAAGTGTACATGACACTGGATAAGAATTAAAAACCCACCTCAATAGACGGTGAACAAAGAAAGAAGAGTGAAAAGAGAACTGGACTTTGATAAATAAAATAAACAAGGCAATTTAATGAATCAAAAGTGGAGAAGAATAAAAGTTAAGTACAATAAATATAGGGATGGTAATGTTTTATTTGTATTTTTTAAAATTTTGACATGATGCTTATTGCTAAGCATTTTCTATTATTGATTTAAATGTTCATAGTTGTACCAAATATGAGTTTTAAATTTTTTTTTCTATTTAAACTTTCATAGTTTTGAGGGAAATTGTGTTTGGTCAGACAAAAAATACTTAATGACAATAGATGCTGAGGTTTAAAAAGTTAAAGCTTTATTACCATTAAACCACAAATTGTCAATGTCTCAGGCCAAAATATCTAAAGTAAATAGCTTTCACTCAAATGCCAATAAGTTCAGAAGCAAAATTTTTCTTTCTTTTGCTGATCCATAAATTTGATTATAACTCATATAAATATTTGTGTTGGTTTGTGTATGTGTGGTGAGATTGATGTTCACAGACTAACTTTAGGAGGCCCATTATTTCATCAGTTGCTCATCCATAGCTCTCATTGAAGTTGATGTGCATACCTGGATTCTTTGAGCTCCTGGGAAGAGCAAGGGCCAGGAGAACTGAAGACATCCTTGCCACATCAGATTCCCTGGATACTTTTTAAACACACAGATAAAGAAACAGATGCAGGGATAGACTGAGTAATGCCTCAGGTTTAATTTCCTTTTTTTTTAAAGTTGTACCCTATTGCAGTCTCACAGTTCAACTGTGCTTATTCTCTCTGGTAGTCTGGGTTCCAAGTCATAGGATCTGGCCTAATGGATTGACTCCTTATAATTCTACTAAAATGTAACTTGACATCAATATTATTACAACAGAATAAGAGAAGCATAAGGGAATGAAGAATCAGGCTAATGTGTGGTGAGATTAACATTAGCCATTAGGCAAAATGGTGATCACAGAATCATAGAAATGTAGAACTGGAACGGACCTTAAGAGGTCAGCAAGCCCACAACCTGTGCTGAAGCAAGACTAAGTACACCTAACATGACCAGTGTATGCTGAACTCATTCAAAAATCTCCAGTGATGGGGATTCCACAACCTCCCTTAAAACCTACAGGCAGTCCCCGGGTTATGTACAAGATAGGGACTGTAGGTTTGTTCTTAAGTTGAATCTGTATGTAAGTCGGAACTGGCGTCCAGATTCAGCCGCTGCTGAAACTGACCAGCGCTGACTACAGGAAGCCCGAGGCAGAGTTGCTCTGCCCCAGGCGTCCCCAAGTCAGCCGCTGCTGAAACTGACCAGCGCTGACTACAGGAAGCCCGAGGCAGAGTTGCTCTGCCCCAGGCGTCCCCAAGTCAGCCGCTGCTGAAACTGACCAGCGCTGACTACAGGAAGCCCGAGGCAGAGTTGCTCTGCCCCAGGCGTCCCCAAGTCAGCCGCTGCTGAAACTGACCAGCGCTGACTACAGGAAGCCCGAGGCAGAGTTGCTCTGCCCCAGGCGTCCCCAAGTCAGCCGCTGCTGAAACTGACCAGCGCTGACTACAGGAAGCCCGAGGCAGAGTTGCTCTGCCCCAGGCGTCCCCAAGTCAGCCGCTGCTGAAACTGACCAGCGCTGACTACAGGAAGCCCGAGGCAGAGTTGCTCTGCCCCAGGCGTCCCCAAGTCAGCCGCTGCTGAAACTGACCAGCGCTGACTACAGGAAGCCCGAGGCAGAGTTGCTCTGCCCCAGGCGTCCCCAAGTCAGCCGCTGCTGAAACTGACCAGCGCTGACTACAGGAAGCCCGAGGCAGAGTTGCTCTGCCCCAGGCGTCCCCAAGTCAGCCGCTGCTGAAACTGACCAGCGCTGACTACAGGAAGCCCGAGGCAGAGTTGCTCTGCCCCAGGCGTCCCCAAGTCAGCCGCTGCTGAAACTGACCAGCGCTGACTACAGGAAGCCCGAGGCAGAGTTGCTCTGCCCCAGGCTTCCTGGAATCAGCGCTGATCAGTTTCAGCAGCAGCTGACCTGGGGAAGCTTGGGGTTCTTAAGTTGAATCTGTATGTAAGTCAGAACTGGCGGTCAGTTTCAGCAGCGGCTGAATCTGGACGCCAGTTCCGACTTACATACAGATTCAACTTAAGAACAAACCTACAGTCCCTATCTTGTACATAACCCGGGGACTGCCTGTATTTCACTGCTTAACTACACTTTTAGTTAGAACGTTTTTCCTAATAGCTAACCTAAATCACTATTGCTGAAAATTAAACCTGTTTTTCTTGTTCTACCTCCAATAGTCCTGGGGAACAGTTAATCACCTTCTTTATAACAGTCCTTAACATATTTGAAGATTGCTATAGGGTCCCCCCTCATGATCCCTTTCTTAAGACTAAATATACCTAGTTGTTTTAATCTTTTCTCATAGTTTGGGTTTTCTAAACTTTTTATACTTATTGTTGCTGTCCCTCTGGACTTTCTCCAATTTGTCCACATCTTTCCTGAAGTGTGCTGCCTAGAAATGGATACAGTGCTCCAGCTGAGCCTTACAAGTACCAAGCAGAGTGGAAAGTTACCTATAATACTCCTTTCTCACCTACAGTACTTCTGTTAATACACTCCAGAACGATGTTAGCCTTTTTTGCCACTGCATCTCTTTAACTCATTCCATTTGTGAGACACTATAGTCCCATAATCCTTTTCAGAAATGCTATCTAGCCAACTAGACCCCATTTTATAGTTGAACATTTGATTTTTTCCTTCCTAAGTATAATGCTTTGTCCTTGTCTTTATTGAATTTCATCTTGTTGATTCTAGACCAGTTCTTTAATTTGTCAAAGTGGTTTTGAACCTAATCCTGTCCTCCAAAGGTCTTGCAGTCGCTCTCTCAGATCTCTTCCCAGTCCAGAAATGTTATAAACATACCCTCTATTCCATTATCTGAATCATTAATAAAAGTGTTAACTAGAACCAGACCCAAGATTTACTCTGGAGGCCCCTCATTAGATATGTTCTCGCAGTTTAACAATGAACCACTGCTAACCTTTCTTTGAGTATAATTCTTCAACCAGTTGTATACCCAATTTACAACATCAGTTAGCCCATATTTCACTAGTTTGCTTATGAGAATGTCATATGGTACTATGTCAAAAGCCTTACTAAAATCGAGCTATAACACTTATAAAGCTTTCCATTGGGCCAGCAATCCTGTCCCCCCCACCCAAAAAAAGAGAAATTTGGCTGATTAGTGCTTGCTAAATCCATGTTGGGAATTCCTTATGATCCTATTATCCTATATTTCAAACTTAAATATTTTAACACATGCTTTCCCTATTTTGGCTTGCATTCCTTCCCCCTTGTTGACAGTACTAATTGTGTTAAATAACTGACCACCATTAACTGTTTTAGTGAAGACCAAAGCAAAGAGTCATTAAACTCCTCAGCCTTTCCCACATAGAAGCACACAATCCCTTAAGTCTAGCCCTCACCAAGAGGGGGGAAAAGATGTCACCGTTGTCATTTTTAATTTAGGGATCTGTTCAGATACTATGGTGATGGGCAGCAATATAAGAACCTCAGTAGGCAGATCCTTGTATCGATCAAGGCAAACTGAAGAAAAGGGTCATTGACACCTAGGCTTCTGAGAACGCCAGACCAATGGGAGAAAGAATAAACATTTCAATACAGATAGATGCCTTGTTGATGTGTATTCCTGCGTCATCTGACTCCAATCACTTACACAAGGTTTAAAGAGCTGAAGAAGACATTATACCCCCTCCATTACTCCAGGGCTCCTGATTCCCAGAAGATGACAGCCCCACTAAGGGCTTGACTATATGAAAATGTTTTGCCATACATTTATACTGGTATAGTTAAACCTATATACTCTCACTGATACAGCTGGGCACTCTTATTCCATATGGGCACTCTTACTCCAGACAAAGTGACCCCTTTCACACAGCTTAAAGCCCTTCTAAAATAAAATATACAAGCCCCCAGAAGGCACATCTTATACTGGAATAAGAATGTCTGCAAAGGCTGCTATGCTTTTATAACTATATCAGCTCTTAGGTTCGTGTTGTTTCCCTAAGCAACATATATTTCTGAATTAAATTGTAAACTTTTCATTGCAGTGAATATATATTGTTTTCAAAGCACTGTGTGCCTATGTATGATATTCCATAAGCTTTGACAATGCCATCAACATATATAGTTTGCATTGTGGTAAAGTTTATTAAGCATACTAGGATTGTTATGGATGAAAACAGAGATGGCCCTGAGCTATGAAGTTAAGATCTAAATCCCAAACCACAGCTAACCTTTCTTCAAAGTGTTAGGGGGCATATAGTTTCTGGCATTTTAGTCCAGGCCTCTCCCAGCATAAAATATGCTGTAAAAATGCAAATTCATTACTATGACACAGACAAAAGGATTTTTAATCTGGATACCAGCTGGTATTTGTCTGACGCATCGAAGAATAATTATGTATTTTTTTAATCGAGATCCATTTCAAAAGAAATCTTAAGGCGGTTTAGTAAAAACACTGATATGTTTTGGTTTTAGTTGAAAGCCAAAGATGTGATTAACTTTCCTTTTCTTTATGGATTTGCTGAACAGGTGCTCTTCTAAAGGATCACTAGGTATATTTAGCATCTGAAATTTGAGCAAGTCAAAATCTCATTGGCTTGCCTGACCACATGATAATTTAGGATCCGATGCGTCAGGCTTGCTTTTGCCCAGCGTTTCTCAGGAGGGAAGAGTTGGAGAGGCTTTGCTGCTAAGGGAAGTTTGTAAAATATTGCTGGTAAGCAGATTTTATTTTGCCTAACCTTTTTCTTTAAAGCCAATCTTGGGAAGTTTCTTATTCTGTAGTTTTTGAGGGCTCTCTTACCCATGCAAATCAATAGATATTTTGCTTAAGCAAGAAATCAGATGAAAAGGACCCTGAGTGGTTGGAAATCACAAAGTGAAGAGAAATCCCTGGATTTGTTTCTAGAGATGTAAAGCATAGATGTTGGATAGACGTTCCCTGTATTTAAGTACATACCTATGTACTGCTGATATTTGTACTTAGAGCTTTTAGTCTGCTTTGCTCACAAGACATGCCACTTGAGAAATGTTTTTATGAGTTAGCACTTGTGTTTCTTCTAATTTTTTCCCAACATTTTGGCACTAAAAAGGGACAATAATGTATGTTCCTATATTTAACCTGCATTACTGGTCTTCACTTGCCTCAGAAGGAATTGCAGTTTAGCTAGCTAAATGAAACCAGCCAACCACTCCATAGTATTAGCTTACATGGCAGATATCTTTGGACTAAAGCAGCTGTTCCAAACCCTCATCTACCACCAGCATTAGAAATAGGGATGTATTGTCTAGTAGCAAGCTATAACTTTAACAGGCCTAAACATAATTATTCCGTTAATTAATCCATGGAAATTTTGTAGCAATAACCTTTATTTCAAGTATTGACCAAAACTATGTGAATTTATATATTTTCCAGGTTTGAAGGAAAAAATAGAAAAAGGTTGCAAAAGCTAAGAAACAAAACATCCGTACACACTAATGGTGGGAAAAGAAAAATTTATTAATTCAAGGTAATTTTAAAATAATTATGCCACATTTTTCTACATTATCATTTTGCTTGTTATGTTGTAACTTACTAAGGAAAACTGCACCAAAAAAAGAAATGAAATAAAATAATGGGATATGTACTATTATAGATAAGGAGAATTCTCCAGATAATTTTATAGTAGGAAAAGCTAAAACACTTATTTTTAACTAAAAAACATATCTTATTTGTTCTTCAGTGTGTTGGACATTAGCTTTGGGTTCCATATATTTGACCTGAATTTTAATTTATATTAGAATGTTGCTTAATCAAGTAACAGTGCAGTCTGAAATAAGGTGAAATAAAGTTAGATCATGATGGCTTTAATTTTTATGAGTCACATGCTATAGGTCCTCTCCTGACATAGCAGTACAATAATATAGCAATTGCTATACTGGAACACACACACACACAAGGGACTTGACTAATAGAGTTTTATAATATTTGAATACTTGGGCTAATATTATATATTCATCTGTTTTATGACCAGTGTATAGGTGGTAGGCAGAGGAATACTCTGTGAAAATGGCAGATGACGAGGAGTATGAGGAGGTAGTGGAGGTAAGAGGAAAATCTAACAGTGGTGTTACTTGTTTGTGAACTTGTGAGCAAATTAATAATTTTGAAGATAGGTAGCTTGTGTCCATCTCTATATAGGCAAACTGCTCTCCAGGTACGGGTATGTACAGGACCCATATTGGGTACGTAAGCAGAACAATGCTATCAATACAGCAGAACCTTTGTAGTTGTTCCAGTGTTTGTATTCAAATATAGATTGTGACTCCTAATCACAAAGGGTTTGACCCACATAATAGATACAATGGCCATGCCCTCTCTTCTTCCCAGACTTCTCTAGTCTCTATTAAATGGAATTGATATGGAACCTAACATTTGTCTTCCCTGTCCATTGCAATCAAAAAATAAGAAAGTTCCACATTGAGGGCTTTTTGAGAGTCCTATGTAGTCAATAAAGACAGGATGGATACTCAATATAGGTATGAGGCCAAATTAAACCCTTGTATTAGAGCACCAAAATCTATGGAGCTACAGCAGGGATGAATTTGATCTCTTTTAAGCTCATTGTTTTGTACCTCATTTAGTGCTATCATTTGAGGAGTCCTCAGTAACTAGGGACAGAGCTGCTTACTATCATTGGTGAATGCCACTGAGAAAATGATTTTGCTATAAATGGGTTATGCTATATGAATAGGCATGTCTATAGTTATTAAATTGTTTATCCCTTTAAAATATATAAGATGAATGAAAACAGTTTGCATAATGTCCTCAGGGTGGCGGGGGGAAGATGATGCTTATTTTAGGAACCAATTTTAAAACTTTAATGTTGCAAACTTATGTTTTTGATAGTCAGAAGCAAATGCACCAGTTCAATTAATTACATAGCTACATTATTTGTCTTAGGAAATAAATATCACTGTACAGTCCCCTATATGTGTATTTTGGAATCTATCTATAAAAGGAAATATTTCTCCAAATTATTGGTATTTGCTATATTATTTCTGATTCAGCTTGTATGTATGGAATAATATCTGCTGTAGCTATGTCACTAGTTGTATTGTTGTCATTCTCACTTCCAGATTGTCCTTTTCTAGCCTGATCATTATATATTTTATTTTTGATAACGTGTCAGTTTTCTTTTCTTTTGAATTGTGTGATGTACCCATGTTTGCTCAGAGAGCTCCTTTATATATTTTTTTAAATGTATGCCTATCTGTAACTACATCTTTGGGACAGCCTCAGATGGTTTTTCTCTATTAGCTGCTTCCTGAGATACTCACAGGGGGCGGGGAGTTATAAATAAAACAGCAACAAATGGCATCTGTCATAATTTTGAAGCAGCTCAGGCCTTTCAAAAATCAGTAAAATCTATAAACCCTAGTTGTACATAAATCACATGATTTAAATCTTAGTAATCAACTTGTGCCAGATATTTGTATTCAATGAGAGATTAAAATTATGTTGGAATAAGTGACTATTCTTTTACTGCGATTCAGTGTATACTGGTTTTACATTTAAGGAACATTTCTGCTTAATCTGAAGGGCACTGGTATTGTAGTCATTAGCAATTTGCAAAGAATGCAGTTGATCATAGAACCAGATAGTATTTCACTGGTGAGTATCTTGACATTTTGGTAAAAGTGAGTCAGACACACTGTATTATCACTGAATGGAACTACTCAGAAACATAACCAGATATTAGCCTGAATGAGAGATCATCAGTTCTAGTTATTTGAGCACAGTTCTGAGGTCCTAGAAATCCAGTTTCAATCACAGTTCTTTTTGGGCCTGATACAAAGGGCCTTTTGATCAGGAGCATACTACTATGCAGCATAACCTAGGGAAAAAGCACTATGCAGGAGATTTTCAGAGCCATAAATGTCAAGTGGACAACTAGTTAATAGCTGAAGTCAATGGGTGTTAGGTGTTTTTCTGAAAATTTCCATCTTTATCATTTCTGCTACATTGACTTCAATGGTGTGTTACAACAGTTGAGGATCTGGCCGAGTCTGTCTCAGTTTTCTCATCTGTCGAATAGAGAGGCATGTTGTGAAGTGTTAGTGTAGTGATCATCATCAGAATACTAATATTTGATAACTGTTACCACACTGTGGCATTGGAAATAACTACAGCTCTTCCTCTGTTCAGAATACAGAGGCTGCAGTCAGAAAAGCGATTCCACTTGAGTCTGCTCATATCTGCTAGCTGTGGCTCTTTCAGTCTTATCTTTTTTAACTGCCTTTTTAAAGTGTTCTTATTCTATGAACATTTCCATTCTTCATCGGGGCTAACTGAAGAATAAGGTCAATGAGATTAAGGGTGGAAGGATCTGGCCCTGGGCTGACAAGGGCTAACAGAGCTTTGGGAGAGTGAGTTGACTCTATTCTGCTTCTTACATAATCAACAAAATAGTCATATCAGACCCCATTGCCAGGCCTTAAGGCTGGTGACAATGTTAAAGGCAAAACCAGTAGAGGTAGGTTTTCATATCCCAGGTGGCATTTGCAGGGCTGGCAGTTAGAAAAATCACCTTTCACAAAATGAATATGGGCCCCCAAAATATCAGGAATTCTTTGGGGCATGGCGGAACTTGATAAAAGAAGGAAGTAAAATAATGGTTATTTGGGCTGCCTCTCCATTTATCTGAGAAGTGGAAAAGTAATTGTACTCTTCCTTTTAATAATATATCATTAAACAACCTCTGTAGTACTTAGTTATTTTTTTCCTTTTTTTCTATCCCTTATAATCGTAAGTTTATGATGTCCTGAGACAATGGATTCTCAAAAGACCAATATTATTAGCGACAACTCCACAACACTGAATTGTTTTATTGGCAAAATAAAATAGATAATTAAAAACGGTCAAACAAGAACAAACATTTAGCTCTGGGAGTGAGTGCTTGACTGTACTAGATTAGGTCAACAAGTGGGTGTTGACAGCCAGGTGTGAGAACTCCATTTTCTCCCTGGAAGGATAGTGCCTACAAAAAAGGGCTTGAAGCATGAGGGCAGAAGAGAAGAGAAAAAAATCTGATCAAATGTTCTGAGCACAGTAATGGGCTCTTGGAAAATCCGGGTTTCTTTAACACTGGTTCTCTTGCTGATTATGCAAGTCATTTAAACTCACTACCTCTTAAAATGGCCATGATAATTTCATAATCCTTATCACATACCTGATATGAAGATGAATTGGTTAATATTTTTAAAGTGATAGTGATAATTATTAAAATGAGAGGATCTTCAGAAAGGATCTTAGAAAGGAGGCCCCTGCATGTCTGAACTATAATTATATCCCCTCCACCCCCCAACTGAGTTTGAAAGCAGTGTTATTACTTCGAAGAGATCAGGAAGGCATTTTGTTGTGCTGCATGACCTTGAGAAATAATGCAGTTTGTACTCTATTTATAGTATTACATTGAAGAGACTGTCATTGAGGAGGGTGAACCAATGGAGGTAAAAGAATGTATGGGATTGCATGTGGAGCAAATGTACATGTTGTTAATGCAAAGCACAAAATGAATAAATCATTCTGTGTTTTGAGGGTTATTTCACCATTTTGACTGCATACGTATCAGCTGAAATAGGTGAAGATTACTTCTCCAGGGCCTGCTATTTAAAATACAAGGGCCTGATCTGATCTTCAGTGCACTCAGGGCACTCAGTACTTCATGAAGTTGAGCCACAGATTACATGAACAGGAAACAGGGGCTAATCTATACGTGCATATACCCTATGTACTTTGGCCTATTTTGCAGACAAGTACAGGATTCCTCCTGAAAACTGTTATGTTTAAACATATCAGTTCTATTATCATTCATTTTGTATGACCTCCATCACAAGAAAAGTAATGTTTCCATGCTTTTCTTGTTTCAGTTATTGCGATATTTCCTGTTTCCTTGTTTCAGTTATATTGATGTAGTGTCCCTAAGAAGTTCAAACAGTAATTTAAAATTGTAATTAGGCCATTGTATCAATATCCCAACTCAGCTTGTTCCAGGTGAAATACTCCTCAGAATGTGAAGCTATTGAGATGCACAGTCTTTCAGTTTTATTCTATGGGTAAAGTGTTTGTTTCTGAACAGAATTCTGTCCCAAAATCTTTCTTGAATCCTTGTTCCAGTAAAAGGCCCATTGATAAAATAGGAAATTTAATTGGGTAAGTAATTCAAGACTACTCCTGCAAAAAAAAAGGAGCCATGTTATTCCATTTGATTTTTAAAATGAACTGCCCAGTGAAATCAGTGGTCAGAATTATTTAAAGTAAGCAATGGTGCAACAGGTTGTCCTGTATCTGATTTACTGGATTTGCATTATATTGTAAAAATCTACCATCATTAAATAGAAATTTACTCACTGTAGACCAGTCTTTCTAATTAATGGGATTAGTTATTCGTCTGTAGTCTCTAAGGATACTCTGTGGTGTATAATGCCAGGTAACCCCGTGGATTATAATATAGAAGAGGAAAAATCAACATTTTTTTCTGCCCATTTTCTTTGATGAGACCATGATTTAGGCATTGGCTAAGACTATTCATTGATATATGTAATTTTTCTAGTGTGAAGGTTTTACTGTGTAAGGGCCAAACTTTGTCAGCTCTTCAGGGCAATTACAACAACAGCTGTAAGATCAGCTGTCTGAAAAATGCTAGGTACTTGTATGGCGTAATAAAAACATCAATAGAAATCAATTTCAGTTCAACCATTGTTTGGCCCCAATGTAATAGGTAACAAAAAACAGCATGTAACTTTTTTTCATGGTATTATCACCACATGTCTACATTTAGGATTCTCCAGTGCCATTTAATGACAGAAAGGGTCGCCATTACTTTCCTTGCTGATTAGAAATGAGTGGAAATGGACTAACCTGTTGCAACATTGAAATGAAGAATAATATACTGGAACATTATTAATGAAACACAACTAGTATCCACAGACTAGATAAAGCTTTTTGAAGGCTAAGTATTGCTAGTGTTTTCTGCTTTAGCTAATGTTTAGTATATTTTTCTAGTTGATGTCATATTAATGCAAAATGCTGTCAAGGAATCTAAGCTTGATTCGTTACCTTTTGAAGGCTTTCCTTTTTTTTTTAAAAAACAAATCTGTTACAAACAAAGCTTTAATGCTTCCTTATCCATGCAATTTTATTTTTGTAAATTATAATAACCATTTCTTTTACTGTTTTTAATTAAAATCTTATTTATATTAAACTTATTGCTTACAGTATGAACAAATGTATAAATCATTAAAAAGAATTTGAGTCTCTTTCCGACTGAGCTACTACCACTGCTTTTATACACGTATAAGTCTTTTCTGTGATTATGAGCTGGCAGTCCACATCAGGACATGTGGGTTAGCCAAACAGCTGGATTTTGAACATACTTTCAGTCATCTAGTGAATCTTATGCTTATTGCAAAGAAAGGTTTAGTCATATTTATCTTGCTATCTCAATTTCTTTCTTCTTTTTGAGGAATGATATTCCTTTTGAAGGCTGGTACATGCCTTTGAGCTACATTCACATCTCCCAGGGACATCAACAGGAACAGTGAATATGTGCTCCCTCCAATATTTCCAATATAGCCCTTAGTATTCAGAGTATTTATACACTTTGGGTCTATCTGTCATCGATCTACCCTCGACATTCCCTCTGACGTCAATGGGAGATACACATGCGGAATGGTGGCAGCAGAATGCCCTCCAGACTCCAAGGCTGATGGATAAAAAACAGAGGAGCTTGATTTAGAAATCAGCTAATCTGCAGAGTCTTAACACTGCCTGCTTGGATGATGTGTAATAGACATACTGGGCAATTCCAGTAGGAAAAGTGGAGCATATTGTAGATCAGTTCCCAGACAGGAGAGTTAAAAACTCCTTGCAGCAAAATTATCGTTTATAATATAAAAATCCAATAGATACATGTTGTCCATATTTCCAGGTGATCATGGAGACCACCACCACGACCACCAGAGGTACTACTGGCCCCACAGTCACCCCAGGGACCAGAGAGCAAGCTTCACTTCCAGTCCGAAAGAGAGTGAAAAGGACAAAAGTGGACACATCTAAGTTTATGACACCTTATCTACAACATAGTCATAAAATGCAGGATCTGTTCAGTGAGGTAAATTGTTACACTTATGTCTTCCTGTTTGTTTCTTTAAGAGCCCCACAAATATACACACTATATAGCAAACTAATATCACTGTCATGTCCTCTTCTGTATTTTCTTTATCATCCCTGTTGATTACTGATATTTATGGTGAAAGAAGAGTTTCCTTCATTGATAGCCTGCATCTTGCCTGACTCATTCATCTTTGGTAGCGAATCAGGAGTCACAAAAAGTGACTTAAGGGAGGGGCATGAGGTCGATTGGTTATAACAGATATCTGAGAGCCAGGATTTCTGGGGTCCATTCCTGGCACTCTCTTTGTCTGACTCTTTGGCTACATCTATGTTATAGTCTGAATGAGAAGAGTAAGGAAAGTTGATGGGAAAGTTTCTTCCATCGATCCCTTGTGGTGTAGACCCCATGGTAACTCAACTTAAGATATGTCAACACCAGTTACATCATTCACGTGACTGGAGTTGTGTAGCTTATGTAACTTTCTTCTCTACTGTAGATGTAACCTCAGTGTTTTGCTGGGCACTTTACTTAACCCCTCTCTGCCTCAGTTTACACACCTCAGTTGGAAAAATAATTAAGGACAAGCCAGAGTTTTACTGAAAGCTCAAGCATGATTGAGGGTTTGTGTCCCCTCTCCCCCCACCCACTATTTTTTGGCCAACTCTAGACAGAGGGCCAAGCTGAAAAATCTAGATTTGTACCCAAACTTCCTCAAAATGTGAAGGGAAGTGGTTCCAAACTGTGGTGCAAGTTCATGCCCAGCTCTAAGTATGTAAGTGTTTTGAGGCACAATTAATGCCTCTGAAGTGTTTTTTACATTCTAAGATGGAAGGTGCTGAGCATTGTTGTTGTAGTACCACTGCAGCTGTCTATCAGTATTTTGGTTACCTGCCATTAGGAGGAAAGAATTTGTAGAAAAAATTAGTAATGTCATGAAAGTGATAACCTGTTTTAATGTTTGAATTGAAGGGAGTGGGGACAGATCGTAATCTGAGGCCCTGCAAATATTACACTCAAATACTCCTTATTCAGTGTTTCTAATCACATGAACAAGAGCATTCACTTGAAAAAGGGCTGTCACATTGAGCCCACACCATGCAGGGGTTATTTTAAAATTGTAGTTGTGCATCTCATACAAATAAAATCAGCTACTTGGCTATAGCAAATAGTTTAGGTGGGGACTTCCAAAGGGCCTGGAAGACTGCCCAGTTCAAAGTGATGAGTGCCATATGCCCCTTTAAAAAAACAGCTTTAATTTATTAAATTTATCCTGAGCTCATTGGAAGTTTTGCCATTGACACCAGTGGGTACAGGATCAAGTCACATGGATTTTCAGCCATTTATTATGCTGTGTAAAAATATTTGTGTCCTATTAATATCGTAAAGCCATAAAGAAACTGGGACAAATTTTGTTCTTATTTCCACCTGTGCAGCTTCATTGGCTTCAGTGGGCTTGCACAGGTATAAATAAGAGCTCAGCTTAAGCCATTGTGTTTTCAGATAGCTGACTACAATTGCTAGCTAAGAAATTGTATAGAATAATTGTAGCAAACCCAGACTCCCTGTAGGCCTAACCTGCCATATCTGGTAATCTGAAGAGGAGAAATACACTATCATATAGCTACAGTGTGGGGTACTGTCATCGTTACAGCATGCAAGATCCCCAGGTAGGGTAAATCAGCACACCTCCTTCAGCTCTAGTGGGACTCACTTGACTTCAATGAAGCTGAGATGATTTATGCTATTTAATGATCTGTCCCAAAGTTGTTAACCGAGTGAGGATAAACATTGATTAATGCTCTCTCTAAAGTTTCACAAGAACTTTGGGGGCATGTCTAAGTAATGCCTACTCTTGCTTTCTTTCAGAACAAATACAAACAACAGTTTAAAAAAGAAAAAGGAAAGCCTTATGCCAGCACATCTGATACCCCAGAACTCCGGAGAATTAAGAAAGTTCAAGATCAGCTCAGTGAGGTATGTGCTAGGCCCAATAAAGCAAATAACACATACATTGGCAAAGGGCTGCATAGCCAGAGTTACATATTCAAGCTATTGGCAGAGACACGGTAACCACATAAATAATATTATGCTTTCCAGTCTGGATGCTTAGCAGAAACATTGCCAAGGTCTCTAATGCAGGAAATGTGGATATAACTTAAAATTCTAGGATTCAGTTTGAGATTTAGGCCTTTGGAACAAAGAAGAGATAATGGTCCTTTATCAGCTGGATAATTACTCCAGCTAGATAATTACTCTGGCTGTGGCCAGAAGGGGTTTCAAAAACTTTTATTTGAAGTTAAAGATAGGATGATGGGGAAATGTTGATAAAGTATAAAATAATTAAATGCCACTGCTGGCTACATCTTGGCATTCTGCATGGGGAATGCCTGTTGAAGTCAATGGAAATATTGCAAAAACAAACCTTTCAAAATGAGCTTAAACATTTCTTTTTTCATACAGTCACATAATAGATAATTGTCCTACATCCACTCAGTTGACATGCTCTAAAAGGCATTTATTTGTGTTGTTGTAGTCCCATTTCAAATAGTACTATGTTAACACAAACCAGGGGAGCTGATAGCCATGCCTGGCCTCTGGGCAAGGTGAGGGTGGGCCCAGATCTGCACTCTCAGAAGGGACAGGGACAGGGACAGGGCAGCTGGCTCTCAGCACAGCATCCCTTCCCCCTGCAGCCCTCAGTGCTTCCCAGAACTCATGGTGCTGCACTCTGGCATCAATTTAAAGGCCTTGAGGCTGTGGGCACTTCTGTTGCCACAGTAGTGACAGCAGTAGCTGGATACCCTGGGCCATTCCCTCCCCATCCCTGTGTTGACATGCCTGACTCAAACTAGGAACCTTTTAGGGTACATTTACACTGCAATTAAAAACTTATGGCTGCCCTGTGACAGCCAATTTGGGCTTGTTGGGGTCATGGCAAGGGGCTCTTTAATTGTGGTGTAGATGTTTGGGCTTGGGACCCTGCAAAGAGGAAGGATCCTAGAGCTCAGAGGTTTTTTGTTTTTTGTTTTTTTTAATAAATACTTCTAATTAATTGTGTTTGGCATGTGTTGATATAGGTGAAATATCGTATGGATGGTGATATCGCTAAGACTATTTGCCATGTGGATGAAAAAGCAAAGGATATTGAACATGCAAAGAAGGTGTCGCAGCAAATGAGCAAGGTAAGAGTGTGAGTGACTCTGAGAAAATATTGTGGACATTAGGGATCCATCGCCCTTATTGGGTGATGCTTACTGGTAACTAGTAAACTGGCAGCCAGTGTCCAGTAGCCCTGAGGAATCTTGCTTAATTGTTTCCATTAATGTTTAACCAGTTAACCGATTAAATGGGATTTTACAGCCCTAGTGGACATCAATGGCAGCAAGTTGTGAATAAAGTGTGTAGATCAGGGTACTAATAATGATTGTCTCAAAATTTCAAAATAATATGAGAAGATAATTAGAGAAACCACGATCAAGAGAGAAACATGTTCTCTCATTTCTCCTCCTGGAGGTAATCCATAGGTTTTCTTTGTGAGAGGCTTTTTCTTTAAAATTTTGAAAAAAGTAGGCTTTGTACTAACACATATTAGTGCTTTCCTAAGGGCACGGCAACCAACATACTGGTCTTTCTGTCCAGGTTTTATACAAACAGAACTGGGAGGAGAATAAGGATAAATACCTTCTACCCCCTGATGCTCCAGAACTTGTGCAGGCAATAAAAAATACAGCGCTGTTCAGCAAGGTAAGAGCAGCTTCTGTTTTGGGGCAGTGAAGTGCTTGTATCATTACTAGTAAGTGGAGATTTCATTCCAAGTAATTACTTCCTGACACTTATTTCTTTCTTTAAGAAACTATACACAGAAGATTGGGAGCAAGACAAAACATTATTCTACCCATACAATGACAGTCCAGAACTGAGGCGAGTAGCAAAGGCCCAAAAGGCTCTTAGTGATGTAAGTAGCGAAGCCTAACTGTCCATTTCAATATAGTGGTTTCATACTGATTTACCTATTTCTCAGTGGAATTGCTTTGGCATAAAATCATTGTAAGGGAGTAGAGAATCAGTCCCAAGATGCAGTGTGGATAATTATTAAAATGGTAGAGATATCTCAATAAACGTAAATAGGGGAGCTGACAGGATCACTGAGCCCTTGGACAATGTTGGGGCTGAAGGCTGGTTCCACACTCCTGGAAGGGTCGTGGCCTCAGGAGGAAGGGGCAGGACTGGGGCAGCTAGTCCCTAGAGCCACCCAGAAGGCTCTCCCCCCAGCAACAGCCCTTAGGGCCATCTGGAGTGCACAATGCGGGGCTCTGGAGCAAGCCGTGCAGTGCTCCAGCTGTGATTCTAAAGAGCGTGGGGCCTGGTCACTGCCAGTGCACCAGTACAGGATCTGGGAGTCCTGGACCCTTTAGAATTGTCAGGCCCTGGGGCAATTGCTCCATTCTCCCCGCACCCTTCCCCACCTCAGTGGGCCTGAATGTACAATGAATTCACTGCTTTTCAATACAGTCTGAAGGGACAGAGATTCTGAGTTGTATTTGGAAGAATTAATGTAATCACACCATTACAGACCTAATATTCTGGGATGCTGTTTTCAATGGGATGTGAGAGTATTTAACATTTCTCAGGAGACAATGAGAATCTTTCAGGTTTGGGCTTGTAAGCCCATTTCTCCCATGTGTAAAACAGGAATAACACTATTTCCCTACTTCACAGAAATGGTTTAATTAATATTTTTAGAAACACATGGAGAACTGAGAGTTTATTTTGCAACAATGGAAATGACTGCTCCTGTTTATGGAAGCATTACTTAGGTCAGGAGTGAATGTTCTGTTGTTTGTTTAAACAGACAGTTCTTCTAAATGTTTACCCCTTGCATTATTTCAGATTGTTTACAAAAAGGGACACTATGAACAAAAATCTAAATACACTTCTCTGCCAGATCCACCTGATGTGGAGCTTGCCAAGAAAGCGACTAAGCAGCGCAGCGATGTGAGTATGCTTCACGGCTTTTTAGCTGTTAGAAATCTTGCTTAAGGATCTGGAGAGGCAGAATCTTTTAAACGCATATACATTATATACGGGCTGGGTTCAAGAAAGGAAAAAATAAATAAATAAACAGATCAGTTCTCTCAAGGGGGTTCTATAGTTGCCATCTGGTCTTCTATGATGATTGCCAGTATTTTTTTCTCCTCATCCTTTTCAATTTCCATATTCAACCCCTTCTTCTTTGCTTTCTCCTCAGACAATCTGCTCATTCTCAGTCTATTTCTGTTTTCTCTATCCTCTTTGTACTGGGGTACACTCTAGAAGGTCGTAATGATCAACATGTCCATCATGTTGCATATTTAAATTCAAATTGCAAAATGTTTGTATGCATGTGCACATTTTTTATTGTATTTTGTTTTCAAGAAACACATTTATTTTAGCAAAATTGGATAATTGATCTTCGATTATGAAACAGATTTGTGGGATCTTAAACATGAGCAAGCTGTTCTCATGTTGCAGAGTATATTTAAATATTAATTTCAATGCAAAATTATTATGCACATGATAGCAGGCCTTTCAGTCCAAACATCCTCAGGCCCACAGATCTTAGAGAAAAAGTTTGGTAAACAGGATGTCTTCAGGATGATTTTACTACTGAATTAGCTAATGGCAGCAAGCAGTAAATTCCATATCCTTAAGGCATGATTAACAAATGCTCTGGCAACAGTCATCTCCAGTCTATATTTTGATATAGATTTGAAGTAAATTCATATCAAAGTATGCAGGAAGTGGTACATAGAATATATAGAGATAAAAGTCCAGCTAAATACATGGGGCTAAGTCCCTTAGACTCCTATGTTAGAAGTAAGATTTTAAGTCCATTCAGAATGGAGTGACTGAAGTGTAGGTGTTATATGATCATATTATTTTGTACTGCTAATTAACTACAGCATAACGTTAGGGGATTACAATTATTGATGATGTTGCAAAACCATTGATGAACTTATATGTGAGCAAAGAGAAAATATTTTATTTGGAGAAAACTTCTCAGATAACCAAAGTATCTTACTCAAATGTAGCTCAAAAGATAAATGGGTGTTAAAAAAGACCTAATTCTAGAACCTGCAGGAACTAATTGATCACTGTTTAAAGCTAATGAAATATGAATGCATTCAACAAAGTGTATGTGGTTCATGGCAGTGAAAACAAGAGCATTTTGTTAGAATTCGTTTACATAGCCAGTCTCTGAGTGCAGGGGCAGATGACCGTTTTGCAGGGCCCGAGGCAGCATAATTCCGCGGGGTCCCCCCTTTGCCACGGCGCATGTGCAGTGACACCATGCGCATGCGCAACGGCGCTGCGGCGCATGCGCGGGGCTTTCTGAAGCGCGGGGCCCAGGGCGTACGCCCCGTTCGCCCTGCCCTATATCCACCCCTGTCTGAGTGGCATAAGAACTGAAGCAGCATGGAAGTGCTTGGCTTTTTGGAACTTGCAAATAAATTGGAGTATCAAAATGCAGTTTTAAGCATAATGGCGCCAAGTCAAAACCTCTGTGCTGCATCCATTATGAAGCAAATGAGAACTAGACTGAAGTCTAAATTAGATGGTTTCCTGATGAGCTTGAGTACAAGCTGATTGAAATCCTATATACTGTACTGCGTAAAGGGAGTGCCAACTCTGTATAAATCTGGGTAGTCCACTATGGTTCTGTGACTGTGTATCTTCAGTAGCAGAAAATTCTAGTTGAGACAATGGGGAAAATACATCTGTTAGTGTGAAGTCCTGGATAGTAATTAAAACTGAAGCTGCCTCAGATCTGAATATGTACAAGCTCCAGAAAATGAGAGAACTTACTGTTCAAAGAGGGTATGTCTACACTTGCACCCTAGTTCGAACTAGGGATGCAAATGAAGGCATTTGAAATAGTCAACGAAACAGGGATTTAAATATCCCGCGCTTCATTAGCATGATCTCACCAGCACACTAGTTCGAATCACAGCTGATTCGAACCAGGAAGTGAGGAGTAACATTAGTTTGAACCAAGGGGCTTGGTTAGAACTAACACGTCCCGGCGTGCACTTCCTGGTTCGAATCAGCTGTGATTCGAACAAGCATGCCTGCGAGATCATGCTAATGAAGTATGGGATATTTAAATCCCCGCTTCATTGACTATTTCGAATGCCTGCATTTGCATCCCTAGTTCGAACTAGGGTGCAAGCGTAGACATGCCCAGAGAGAATTTGATTCACTGAGTAAACTTTGGAACAAGCAGAAGTGGAATTCTGGCTTGTGAAACTAGTTTCCCTGATAGCATAACACATTATTGTAGAAATAGGTAAATCAGGTTATTAAATCTAATGTATATAAGCAGTGTATATGCACCACAGAAAGCACTATTCAAAAGAAACCAATACATATTTATAATCATGGTGATGAATAAAGTAGAAGTGCATAAAAATGTCATTGCCTTTCCTTTATTGGTCAATTGTGTAAAAGAAAAAATGATGACAATTGCTAGAGCTGAGGGAGGTGAGCAGGATTTGGCAATGACTGAACAATCTAATTCATATTTCTAGTGATGCTGGTCCAAATTGTAAACAAATGTACATTGTCCAAGCATGGTGATCATTGTCCAGTAGGGAATGGTAGATGATTTTGGATAAGAGAAGGTGAGAGTCATATATTCTGTGTCAGGATTGTCAAAATAGGTTGAGGTAGATTTCCTTGGGCGCCTTTGAAAATTTCACCATGTGTAATCTAGAACCTAAATCAGATTAAACAATAGGAATCTGTAACATTATTCTCCGAGGGAGGAGAAGACTAACAACAAGCAACCTCCTTATTGGTGAAAAAATTGTTGAATCTAAGACTTTTTGCTGCTAATCAGCTAGATGGCACCCAATATGTTACGAAGAAGGAACAAGGAGGCGTTAACCAAGCAATGGAATAATTAAGCCAAAACATCCATGACAGCAGCAGATAAAATGTATTTGAAGCATTTGTAAAATTTGAAGCAATTTTTTTAAAAAAATAGTTAGAAAACAGGCTAGGTGATCATAAAGGGCTATTTCAGGTTATTTTATTTATATTATTTTATATATTTACGGGATTAATATTCATTGTTTAATTGCATTATAGGTTAAGTACCATGAAGACTATGAAAATAACATCAAAGGCAAGTGGAGTCAAACTCCTTGCTATGAAGTTGCAGTTGCAAGGATGAACTCTGATAATTTAAGTATGGTAAGAGTTATTTAGACACTGGGTTTTTTCAACCATGTAATGCCTAGTATATTTTTTCTGTTCTGCTTGTAGTACTTCTCTTTTTCTATTTAAGCCATAGGGGCTGGAAGTTGAATGCTGGGAGTGCTGCTGCTGCACCTGCTGGCTTGAAGTGGTTTCCATCGCATAGAGTTTATGGTTTAGTTCAATGATTTTCAGCACCCTCACTATACAAATTGTTCCAGGCCTCCCCCCTTGATGTAAGCTGTATTATGGATGACTATTTTGCAGTGGTAATGCATTTGATACACTTTGTTCTCTTTTTCTGTTACTTACAGAGAAAATACCAGGAAGACTATGAGCTCATGAAAGACCAAATCTCCTTTATGCAAACTGAAACTCCGGAGTATGAGGCTAATAAACGAGCTGGAATTGCTGCCAGTAAAGTAAGTGAAGAATGCCCCCTATTTATTCAGTTTGGTTCCACTTCAGAAGTCTCTGATGGCATGTTCCCACTGAAGTTGCCTGTAAACGTATTACCTCATCCTGCAAAAGTGTTTAGTGTACTTCTGCTAAGCTTCTTAAGTATATTCAAGACCTTCAGCTGCAAAACCCCTTTTGATAGGGAACTTTCTTCTGTGCTCTGCCTGAGATTTCTGTTATGAGCCAGATCTGCAGCTGGTGTCAATCCATATAGCTCCATTGACTTCAATGGACCTATGCAACTCACACTGGATGAGGAGCTGGCCCAATATTTTCACATTAAAGACATTCCTAGACCAGTGATTCTCAAACTTTTTCTGGTTGGTGATCCCTTATTCAGTCTCCAATATTTTGCTGAACTGCTTACAGTTACCCCCTTAGTCTTATTTGTATAGTATCAAAGGTAACAATGATACAACTATATAATTAAATTACTTGTGTACGTATTTTGAGGGGTCGATGGAGAACACTTGACTTTGAAAGATAGGTAAAGGTGTGGGAGTAAGGGAATGAGATTTTTCTTTGCTTTGCTGTCTCCCCAATAGTCTTTTGTGGCCCTACTGAAAGTATTATCCACTGGTTTTTAACAATCCTTTGGACCTGGACTTATATATTTATGGGTTATCCAGGGTAATGAGGATTTGACTTTGGAGATTGTCTGTGAGAAGGCCAATGCTTTTTGGGGCACAGTGGATGAATGTTGCAGATTATAGAACAATAACTTAGTCGCTTAGAATTATGCTGTTTCTCTGATAATTTACTTGTTCCAAAAGCAGCCCCTCTGAAAAGGAGCACTATAATTAAGACGACGGTCCAAATACACTTTTTGTTTAATTTTTGTAGGTGAAATATAAAGAAGACTATGAAAAAAACAAAGCTGCTACAGATTATAATGTACTTCCTGCTACAGAAAATCCATTGCTGAAACAGCTAAAAGTTGCAGGAAAGCTGCTAAGTGATGTAAGTGTTATAAAAATTCAGTTTGAATATTTTCAGCTGTATAACACAGGGCTGGATTAACACAGGGGATTTGGGGGCTGCAGCCCAGGGCCTCAGGCTAAGGAGGCTGCTTCTACCCACCTGGCCTGCACAAATCTCCGTGTTGTGGAGTGGACACCAATGCCCAAACCTCAGTGCCCTCTTGTGGGGCTGGAGGCCTGAGCACTGGCTTGCCAGCATGCTCCTGCAGCCCCTAGGCAAGGGGCATTCAGGGAATCTCTGCACACATTTCCTCCCCCACCGTTGGCTCTGCAGCTCCCATTGGCCAAGAACCATGGCCAATGGGAGATGCAGGCACAACACACTCTTGTCTCTGCTTCAAAGGAGCTTTGTGCTGGCCGGTGACACCTCCTGGAGATGACCTCTCCCCCTGAGCCTACCTGCCCTGCAGTGCTCCCTGGATTCTCATCCTTGTTGGGCAACTGCCTCTCAGGAGCCCAGTTGTTCCCACTTTACCAAGGAGCTGCCATTGCAGCCAGGTCTCTCTCCCCATGCTCTTTATGTGTAGAGCGGAACCATCCGTTGCTTCCTTTGGCTGCCCATGGCTGCCAGACTTGTGGTCACACAGCCTGACCTCTGAGCTTTGTGCCCAGCCCAGGCTCTGGTGGCAGGTGGCTACTGGGCCCAATCCTGCACTGCCCCACTTTTGAGCCCTTGCCTGGCCCTGCCCTAATTCTGGCCCTTCCAAGAGTTAAAAAATCATGAGTCAGTGCCTCCCCACCCCACAATTGTGAGACAGGCTTAAAAATCAAGAGATATGTTTAAAACGAATATATTTTGTGTGCTTTTATTTGCTTTCTGGTCTTTGAGCCTTTAGAGAACTCTCAAGTCATGTTTTCGAGCTGTTCTCTCCAAACATGAGGAGTTGCAGTTTACTTTAAGAAAAAAAAAAGGCAGCAGATTCTTACCTAATCAGTTCCTCCTGGGGATTTAAGAAAAGCAACAATTGTCATGGTACTTATGATTAAAATCGTGAGTGTTGATAATACTGTCTGGCCCTCTCTTCTAATTGTTGAAAGGGATTCCAGGTAGATTCAATCTAAACATGTTCTAGTTCTACATGTTATAAAAATCATTCTTCAAAAGCAGAACTACATTCTCAGCATTTTCTCCAGAGACAAGGGTATATTAGGTTTTGTACCAAATCACAGCATATGAACGCCATGACCTTTGGAAAAGTTAGGCTCTGGAATTAGATCTGAATGTTGCACCTGCCCCCTATATTTATAATGAAACCCTAGAGCCACTCATATGGACATTTCAGCAAATCACAGCTACAGATCTAAACTGCTCAGGTCAATCCCATCTCTGCTTTTTACATTAGCAGATTATTGCCTTGTCAAGCTGATGGTTTACTTGTATTTCTCAGTGTCAGTACAAATCACTTAAGGCTTTAGGCAGATTATCATTTCTGCTGATGGGAATCAATGAATCTCAATGAAATCTTCTATGTTACCAGACTTTATTTTTCTTTTGTAGAAATTATACAAGGAAGCCTTTGAGAAGACAAAAGCAACAAGCATTAATTACTGTGAAACTCCAAAGTTTCAAATTGATAGTGTTCTGAAAAACTTCAGTGATGTAAGTAGTGTTGTAATTCCTTGAGTTCCTGTATTTCACACCTGACTTTCTCAGTTATATATATTTATAAACGTGCTTTTTCTGCAGGTTAAGTATAAAGATGCATACCAAAAGAATATTTTGGGACATTACATAGGTAGCTATGAGGACCCATATCATACACTCTACATGAATGTTGCAGCTATGAAGAGTGATGTAAGTGTGGCAGTATTTTTGTTGATTTCACCATACTGTCATTGTAAGGCAAGATCACTATGCTTACTCTCTGATGTCATTTTATTCCCTAGAAAAATTACAAAGCAGATTATGAAGAGGACAAGGCAAAATGCTACTTCCCCCAAACTGTAACTCAAGAGTATGAAGTTATAAAGAAGTTAGACCAATGCAAAGATGTAAGTATAAGGCAAAAATTACTGAAAGGAAGCTAATTTTTCATAGAAGGGATTAACCCAAAACCCATGAAAGTCAACTGAAAGATATCTTTTAAAGTCCATGTTTTTGGATTAGGTCCTATTTGAGTGTGTGGGTTATAAAGGCCACAATCATATATATTGTTTTCAGGATCTTGTGACACCTAGTGCTCAGGATGTGATTAGCTTATTTTTTTTCTTAGAGGGGGGTAACCGCAGAAGGGCACTGCTCTGCTCTCTGTAGTGTTTTTCAGTTACCTTTTCTGAAATACTACTTTGCCTCAGTTTGCTATTTTGATAGAATAAATCAGAAAGAGACCCACTGCATCAGATGATGTGTATCTTGTATGCCTTGTACGAGGTAGATTGCAGGGCTGCTAGTAGCAGGCCAGGCTTCTGTTTCAGGTATGGCCTGCTTATGGCATTTCCTTCCCAAAGAGATACACAAAATGTATTCACTATATTCCTTATTGCACTCCCCAGTTCTGGCTGTTATCAGCGCTGGTAAATTGCTGCTCATGGTGCCACCTAGTGGCTAGCTATTATCAAAGTGTTTTACATTCCATTACAACATGTATTTTTAACTTTGTCATTGCTTGGAGCACAGTCAGTATTTAATAACACAATAGTACAGTATTGTATTTGATAGCAAACTTTATTTATATGTGTGTATTTAAAGCATTTTAAATGATTATTCCCCCAGAATACTTACAAAAAGCATCCTGATCAAATCAAATTTACGCAAGTGACTGATTCACCAGTACAAGTTCAAGCACAGATCAATACCAAGCAGCTGAGTGACGTAAGTAGCGTGACAAATTAAGCAAAACATTATGTGGTTTCCTATTTTTATGGTAATGAATGTAAAATATTTTAACAACATTTCTATGACATCTCTTTGTGATGGCTGTGATATAGTAGATGCAGTGCTGGTAAAAGTAGCTACAATAATAAAATACAGACATGGCAGTATAAATGGAAAATCTACTGAAATCAGTGGAAAATGCCCATAATTTTGCTGTCTTTATTTTTGCAGCAGAGAGTTGTGGACACTTACTGACATAAATGTAATAGAATACTCATAAGATGACATTATACCAAATTAACTTTCTGCTTAAAATAAACGAGTGAATTTAGTGCTAGTAAGAGTAAAGAACTGGTTAGATCCAGACACCTTGAGGGCAAGCATTATGCAAGCTTCTATATTTATTTTTTGCCAATGCATCCCAATCCTGAAATGTAACACCTGTGCTGTTCTAATCCTGGATCTTGATTGAAGAAGTATTCCCAACTGAGTTGGGTTTTAGTGCATGGGCAGGAACCTAGATGAGATCATCAGCCTCATTTTCACTTGTGACTTAATTAAGATTGGAATCTCTTTCTCCACAGGGAAAGGCTAGTGCATTACCGTGTTTTCTACCTTCTTGCATCTCTACTTGATATGCAAAAATAAACCTCTGTGTCAAAAATGTTACAATTCTAAAGATACAGTATTAACTTGAACTGAACTGAATTTCTGATAGCAAATTTAGCCTCTTCAGACCTGAATAAAGATTCCTATTCTGAAAGAAAACATTCTCACTTATCTGTTTTTAGTGAGCCCAATAAAGACAGAGAGCTAGAGTGAGGTTATAGCTCAAAATGAGCAAAAAATAGGCAACACAGAATATTCTAAAACATCATGAAATTGGGTCTGAAACAAAAATGTACTCTCTTGCTTACTACTTGTATTAGCCAATGAGTATAACCTTTTATCTGCTGTCCTATGATCTGTACTTTTCTTATATGAATATTTCTGATTGTTTTTAGTTGAATTATAAAGCTAAACACGAAAGTGAGAAATTCAAATGCCACATACCACCAGATACTCCATTTTTCCTTCAGTCCAGAGTCAATGACTATAATCTGAGTGATGTAAGTATTAATGTAACACTATCTTGTAAATGATGCAACACATTCATAGCAAAGCACTTATACTTGCACCTGTAGTAAAAACTGAATTATTCTGATGACGAGGATAAACTCCAGATAACTAATAAATTCTCTTCTTCTGTCTCACACACATGAACACAGAATCATATAGTCATATAGGTATAGTTATAGGTAGTATGAATAGTAGTAATATAGTTAATATGTATAATTAAGAGTAGTATACTAGGTAAAATTGGAAAGAATGGTTTTGATTCTCATTTACATGAAATCCACTTTACATAACTATGTCACTTAGTATATGTGTTACTGTAGCACCTAGTAGAACCATTTGTGGATCAAGACCCCAATGAGCTGCACAAAATCAGAACAAAAAAGGTGGTCCCTGCCCCGAAGAGCTTACAATCTAAACATAAGACAAGAGGCAACAGATAGCTACAGACACAAGTAGGAAGAAACCAAAGTAAACAATGAGACCATGTTGGATAGTATAATAGGTAGGGGACAAAGTGCACCAGCTGCCTAAACATTCAGTATAAAATGAATGGCCTTAAAGTGGAAGTCAATTATCTTTATAACCACTTTTAGAATGGTATAACATGGTCTTTGTGTAAAAGAGAATTAAGCTTGAAAAGTTTGATATAATAAATTGAGTTTAAATTAATATTCTAAACAATCAACATGTTAATTAGTATAAAATATTGCCAGTAATTATTTTTATCCTCTAGTTGATGGATTAATATTTTATATCATATCTTACCTATTTCATTTATTTTCATGTCTGCAGAACTGTTACAAGTATGACTGGGAGAGGTCTAAAGCTAAGAAATTTGAAATCAAAGTTGATGCAATTCCACTTCTTGCAGCTAAAGCTAACACTAAAATTTCTAGTGATGTAAGTATGGAATATGAATGTAGCAACAGTCGTTCAGCTGTAAATGTGGAGCATAGTTTAATATATTTGTTCTCATTGTGCAGGTGGCATATAAGAAAGACTATGAACTAAGTAGAGGGAAAATGATTGGAGCCCTGAGCATTCATGACGATCCCAAGATGTTACATTCTGCAAAAGTGACCAAACAGCAAAGTGATGTAAGTCTCTTTATGATAATCTATTTTATCACAATTATTTATTTATATATATATACGGTGTGCTAGACTTCTACTAGACCTATAAGAGACCAAAGGCTTTACACTTATAGGCTGAGAAGAAAATGGAAATGCAGGTAGAGAAATGGCCCATCTCCTACCCTTCCCATACACCATCTATTTGTATCTTATGCAGAATCTTTATTCTGGATGCAGGGTTGTGATACCCCTACACTCAGGCACAGCTGATGGTCTCTGGTGCCTCCCCAATATATAGCATCCTTGAATCCTCAATATTCAGCCCAATTTACCATGAGTGAAATTTTATCCATAATGTGGTTTTGTTTGTGTAATAGACTAATAAAGTGTGTATCACATCCCTCTCTATTGGGAAATACATTATAAAGGATAACAGTCTACTACTGTTGCTAGCTAATGAAGAAGTTCCTTTAGCTCAGGTGGTAAAGATCTGCACTTTGGTGTTAGACACTCTTTGCTGAAATCTGCTGACAGTTGGTGGTGGGGGTCATAACATTTGCCAGTAGTTTCAAAATACAGTAGTTTCAAGTAACAGTAGTTTCAAAGTACAGATTAATGAAAGCAAATTATTATAGTTTCCTATCGAAGCATCTTCTTTAAAATATTGTGCCTTATTCTGTTTGTTTCTGATACATCTCATGGAATTAGCAGATATTGAACTTATTTAAAATATTTGAAGTTGCCAGGAAGCAACTTCCTTCTGAAAAGACTAACGCTGTTTTCCATGTTAATCTAAAACATATTTATTGAATTCCTTTTCACAGCATGAGTACAAAAAGGACTATGAATTGTCAAAGAGCATATACACAGCTCCGCTGGATATGATCCCAATCACGCAGGCTAAGATATCTCAGGCTATTGCCAGCGGCATAGACTACAAGCATCTCCTACATAATTACTCTTATCCTCCTGATAGTATTAATGTGGAGCTTGCAAAGAAGGCCTACTCTCTGCAGAGTGATGTAAGTGGTCATGCTTCAGTAGGCATGGTATTACTGACCAGTTCTGTAAAGGTTCTTCTCCTGCAAACTGGGGTTATATGCGATTCAATACAAGTGAAGTCTGAGTGCAAAGCATGCTGGCACTTAGCGTAAGTGTTGAAAATACAAAGCCTTCTAATATATATGATATTGACTAACAGGATGTGTGCTATTACTGACCAGTTGGGTCAAAATAATTAATGTGGAGATGCTCCAGGCTACAGATACCATGTGTCAAAAGGACTGTCTTAGATATGCAGTGAAAATGATGTGCAATGATGTTTCACTAAACACTAGGCAGAAATCAGGGATGACCTGTAAGGCAGAGTGTGCAACTGCTAACTTAATTTTTCTCTCTCAATGGATTTTCAATAAACTGGTTGTGTATGAATTATGGAGTCATGATAGTTACTCTGCAGTTCAAGTTGCAATTTACTTTCCATTATAAACCTTTTGACCTAAGTCACACCCCCTAATCTAATGTCCTCAAAAAACAATTAGAAGTTGTCTTCTTCTGCAATGTTTATGATTGACTGCCATGGTTCAGGGCTAGCTTCAACTCTGACCCCTTCCTTCAGCTTTCTAAGTTAGCCCCCTCCAGGTCTTAGGAATAAAGCCTTCACCATTATTGTGGTGGAATTCCACAGTTCTCCCACTCATAGGCCAGGCTCCCAAGCCTCTGTGTACTATTAACCTGAGGGTGGGTGTGATGGCCATGCCCCCTCTGTGTCCTCACGCCTGCCAAGGGACACTTACGAGAAATGGGAAGAATTCTGACTCAGCTTTCTTTTAGTGCCAGATGTAAGACAGATGAGACCAGGGAGACTGTAAGCCGAAGAGCCCACAAAGGCTACTCTACCCAGACAGCAAATAATATCAGTCCCTGTCCCCCTTCCATCAGAAAGGAGCCAGTCACCTAGCCCTGCACCATGTGCACCATCCAATGGCCCAAATGCAGCATATAAGCCCCTCCTTTTTACAACCCTTCCTGGAGAAGGGGGAGGGAAGAGAAGCAGCAGCCCCGACATGCAAAGAATGGGCAGTTGTGAGAAAAAAGAGCAGGGTTCATACCACACTGCTTCAGCTGCTGTCTATTGAGTTCCCTCCCCCAACCTCAAAATGTGTTTCCCGTGCCTCTTGGTCCACCCAGCTAGGAAGAGGAGCTGTTCATTTATAAGCGTGGCTTTGGTTCTTATTACCATAGCAAAGAGTATTTGACCAGAATAAAAGATTACTTTTGCTTAGGGGATTGATATTTCCAACCATAATGATACTGTTGCAAAGATCTTTTGTGAATAGAATACAGTGAAGTCCCTTGAATGCATGCACCTGGCTCCCTTTAATGTTAACAGGAGCTATGTGAATTCAAGGAAGCACAGATATCTAACTTTTATCATGAGAGGAAGCAGCCTACCATGCTAATTGTGCATTAAGGAACTGGAGGCTTCTATGTTTTGTCTGGACATTCCCCTCTTTCTCCTTTCGCCTCCTAGACAATTCCAGTTTTGTTCATATAAAAATTAACATTTCAAGCTTCCTTACTATTGGCTCTGTTTGAGACATGGGTAATTCAGGCAAACAGAAGCTTCCTCTTTTCATTGAATACCTCATATCTCTTTGTCTCTTCCAGAATGAATATAAAGCTGACTACAATGATTGGATGAAAGGTTGTGGCTGGGTGCCATATGGGTCCATGGAAGCAGAGAAGGCAAAGAGAGCTTCAAACATTCTGAATGAGGTAAAGAAATGTAGTGTGATTAAATCAATTCCAATTGCAATAGAGAGTACACCAGAAAAATATTAAGGCAACAAAGCACTACTCTTCATGATATATATCATGCTGTTCCTTAACATGTGAAATACCCCCTAAACTAATCCGTGACTTTCACGGGGATTTCTTGCAGAATCAGTACAATGGATAAAAGAATTTTTGATACAAATGCTGATATTTGTCAATATTAAAACAGATATCCTGTTGGCTTCCTCCTACACAATATTTAAGTGTCCGTGTTCCTGAGAAGAGTTTGGGTCTAAAAGGAACCAAGAGTTCCTGTAGACAGAACATTGTTCCAGCTAGTTCTGAATATCACAGACATAAAGAGTGCCCAGCCCACTTCCCATAATTGTTTTGAACCAGCAAGAAAGAAAACAAGAGGCAAGACAAGATGATATTTTTTCTGATCTCTCTTGTGGTTTGAAAAGGCAGCTTATTAAAATTTGCTCATCTTTTAGTTCATAACCATCAGCAGCAGAGATTCATAGAGCTGCTATTATTTCATATATGATAGTTTGGAGTTATGATGAGTTGTAGCAAACAACATGAAACATAATGATGATTGGCTATCCCCTCACCAATGTGCATTCAGATTCATCCTGACTTCTGCTGATGTCATCTTTTAAGAATAAATTAGGCATGTCACGTGTTCCAATGGCAAGTATTTATATAATTCTATGACACCTGCAATGAAACTTTACCTCGCAGATGGCAAATTTGATGGTTTGGTCCAGGTTTGCAATTTATGAATATAGATGTTTTCTCTCTGTATGTCTTTCTCATTTGCACTTGTCTGTTTGCAGTCACCTTTGTCTCCAATAGAATGATGGGCAAATGACTAAGCTGAAAATAATGAACATAATCTTACCACTATCATTGTACCGTTGTTACCTCCCTAGGTAACACATTCTAGTGCTTCACCACCTTCCTAGTGAAATAATTTTTTCCTAATATCCAACCTAGATCTTCCCCACTGCAACTTGAGACCATTGCTCCTCATTCTGTCATCTGTCACTACTATGAACAGCTTCTCTCCATTCCCTTTGCAACCCCCCTTCAGGTAGTTGAAGGCTGCTATCATATCCCCTTTCAATCTTCTCTACTGTAGACTAAATAAGACCAAATTCTTCAGCCTCTCCTCATAAGTCATGTGCTCCAGCATCCTAATCATTTTTGTTGTCCTCTGCTAGACTTTCTCAAACTGAATCAAATTGCATTGTTATCCTATGTTTACTTTTACAAATAGGTGCAATGGAAATAGATAAAAAGATATTCCTAGCCATCAAGGAAATGTAACATTTGATTTTTTATTTTCTGAACAGAAAAAATATCGCCAACATCCAGACACTATTAAATTTACCCAAATTGAAGACGAGCCTGTTATGGTACAGGCTAAAATCAACCAGGCCCAGAGGAGTGATGTAAGTTATGATATTTCAAGTGGACTGATATATATTAATACATAGAATTATAAAGTCAAATGCACCCATTCACTTAATCTCAAGGTGCTATCAGACAGGTCGTGCCCCTCCCTCCATTCATGTGAGTGTCCCCATATCCACTGCAGCACAATGTGTTCTGTAGCACAAGAGGCACATTCAGTCTGGGTGCAGGCAGGAGGAACTTAATTCAACTAATTGGTGTTTCTTCTGCCTACAACAGGACTAAATTTGACCATATAAGGATGTGCTCTGTGATACCTGCACACAAAGACGACCCTTTCTTGAGTACCTTTTCTGGTGTAGCTGAAACAAAATACAGGACTATGGAGCACTTTAAAGACTAACAAGATGGTTTATTAGATGATGAGCTTTCGTGATCTGAGGAAGTGGGTCTGGCTCACAAAAGCTCATCTAATAAACCATCTTGTTAGTCTTTAAAGTGCTCCATAGTCCTGTATTTTGTTTCAGCTACACCAGACTAACACGGCTACATTTCTATCACTATTTTATCTTAAGGGCACTCATGAAATTATCCTCAAATGTACTTAGTAGAATTTACAGTGTTACTAAAAAATAACTTCAGTTGATTAACCGGATATTGTCAGTCCCTAAAATGGGTGTTTACAATAGGTTTGAGTATGTGTGCGCACATGTATGTATTATATTCTGAGTGAAATTCTGTCCCTGTTGATGTTGATGGGCATTTTGCCATTCACTTCAATGGGCCTAGGTTTTCGCCTTCTATATAACAGCATAGTACACATAAAAGTGCTGCTATTATTATGTAAGATGCTTAATTCAAGCTATATGACTCAGCATGTTTTTAGTATTTAAAATCTATAAGTATTTGACTGACAAACTTATTTTTTACATCCTCCTGCAGGTACTATATAAAGCCAAAGGTGAAGATATAATTCACAAGTATCACCTGCCTCCAGATATGCCCCAGTTTATCCAGGCGAAAGTAAATGCCTACAATATTAGTGATGTAAGTTTTCATTGGAGTAAGAGTGCTTGATTTAGCATACAATGTTAAGTACAGGTAATGGAAGCTTAGATTGTTATTTTAAAAGTGATATTTTCTTTCAGAACTTCTATAAAATGGACATGGAAGAATTAAAATCAAAAGGATATGACCTAAGAAATGATGCTATTTCTATCCGAGTTGCCAAGGCAGCTAGTCAGGCTGCCAGCAATGTAAGTACATCGCATTTCACGTAACTATTATTACATGCAGTGAAGATTTATTTTAAAATTGTTTGCATTACTATTACAACTGAGGGGTTGTTTTATTGAGGTGGGGTTTTATTAAATCCTTTTCTGGGTTATTTTTTGAATCCTTTTAATAGATCTGGAATCAGTTTTTAAATGTATTATGCTACTTAATTAATGTAGTTCAGTTACACATATGTATAAAAAACTCATTGAATAAATAAAACATCACTAACACTTTTGTAATCAACTGAGACAATGAGGTCTTGTGTCCTAGTCATAGGCCTATGTCCTAGGGACACGGGAGTGCTTATGTCTCTGTCAGTAATTTGGAGCCTGATCTTAAAACCATGGTAAGGCCCCCAAGTGCTGTTGGTAGGCTTTTGGAGCAGATTACTGGCATGTAACCTTGTGGAGGTCACTTAATATATCTTTGACATCCCTGCTCCTCCATGTGTAATGTTGGGATAAAAATGCCTTGGAAGGGTGTGTGTATGGAATGCGGGGTGGGGGAGGGAGACTTAGCTAATATTTTAATTAGCTAATATTTGTACAATAATGAAAATGTAAAGAGATATGGGTATTATGTTTATAAGTACTTTCACTGACAAACAATGACAGTGGTTGTAATTTAGTAGTTATAATTTCCCTAGAAACTTCATTTGTAAGAAATATGCATCATTGCTTCACAATTACATTTTAGGTTGTTCACTAAAGAAAGTGTGTTTTGTGTCTGACTGTGCTTTGACAGGTCCACTATAAAAAAGACTATGAACTTGCCAAGGGTAAACTTGTTGGCTTCCAAAGCCTCCAGGATGACCCCAAACTGGTTCACTACATGAAAATAGCCAAGCTCCAGTCTGAACGGGAATACAAGAAAGATTATGAGAAAACGAAAACGAAAACCAACATCCCATTAGATATGGTCAATGTTGTGGCCGCCAAACAGGCTCAAGACATTGCCAGCAATGTTAATTACAAGCAGCAGCTCCACAATTACGTTTACTTACCTGATGCGATGAACGTGAAACTCTCCAAAAACATGATGCAGATACAGAGTAATGTGAGTAACATACTTATTTCTATGGAATATGTCCAGAGGGATCAAGAAAAAGGCAAACTTAGCTATCTGACCTGTATGGTTACTTTTTTGTAGCATGCCTATAAAGAAGACTATGATAACTGGATGAAAGGCATTGGCTGGATTCCCATTGGTTCATTGGACGTAGAGAAAGCTAGAAAAGCAGGAGAAGCTTTGAATGAGAGGAAATATCGTCAGCACCCAGACACCATCAAATTTACCAGTGTGGTGGACTCTCCGGTTATGGTCCAAGCTAAACAGAATACACATCAACTCAATGATGTAAGTCTGGGGGAAAAGGAACATAACAAAACTAGGAAGTGTCTATGGAAGTATCTGTATGTATGTACTAGTTTAAGTTAAATAAACCATCACACTATTTCTTTGTAAGTTGTTATTACATCTGCGAAAAGGTATTTCCATACTAATGGGGAAAACAACGGGGATTTTCTGCAGTTTTGGTAGTTGTGAGCATATATACACATAAAACATCAACAAATGTGTATGATGGGTTTTGTACGGGGTAGCTCTGCTGAATTCAATGGATTTATTCCTAATTCCATTGAGTCATAGATTTTAAGGCCAAAATTACTGTTATGGTCATGTAGTTTGATCCACTGTACAAAATATGTCATAAAATCTCACCCGGCATTTTATACTGTGGTTATTGAGAACAGAATTGGCTAGTTCATCAGCTGATGTAAATCACTGTAACTCAAAAGGTGAAATCCCGGACTTGTTGAAGTCAATATTAAAATTTCTGGTGACTTCAATAGGGCTAGCATTTTATTGAAAAAAGTTATTTTAATCAGCTGAGGATCTGGTCTATATTTAACATTATACCACTGAAATTAATTAAAAATATTTTTACAACTGCATGCTTAATATGTGCAGCTACAGATATGATAAGAAGTTTACAATGTACACTCTCAGACCTACTGACTCACAAGGAGTCTACTCCACATTTGCAAAGATATTTAGGCATTAATGCACCTAAGTCTCATTTTCAAAAGGGATTTAGACACTGCACATTTTTAAATTCCTATGACTGTTGATGGGATTTTGGTTTGTAAGTGGCTAAACCCTTTTTGAAAATGAGATTTAGGCTCCTAAACCAGTTAGACATTGCAAGGCTGAAGTGTGGCAACAGCTAACTACCTTTAAAAATTTGTGCCTCCTTCTATTATGATAAACTTATATTTGTAAACTAAATCTTGTAAAGCTTGTAAAACCAGAGCTTGTGCATGAAAGTGCAGACACTGATTTTATGAGGTAGGTGGCATCATATGTCTGAGAGACCAACCTTGAGCCCTCAGTTATACACAGTGATCTGGGGCTCATTGTGCTTGGAAAGAAGTGATTAACCATGTCACGTGTTTTGCAGAGGTTATACAAATCTTCAGGAGAGGAATTCAAACATAAATACACAATGACACCGGATGTCCCACAGTTTATCCAGGCTAGGTACAATGCAGCCAACATCAGTGATGTAAGTGATTTCTTCAAGGATATGACTAAGTTGCATGTTGTTAATGAAATAAGTAATGATGAGTGCTGCACGTTACATAATATGTCCAAATAATGACACCATGTAAGCAAATCATATGGGTTAGGGTTGATGTGTAGATACAGGTCTACATAATCAAATTATAACAAAATAATTGCTGTCATCATTATCTTAGCATTTGAATGGGCAAACCAACACAGTTTATTTGATGTGGCCGTACTCTGATAAACAATGAATGAGATGCATGTTACCACTACCTCATCCAGATCCTGCAATAGCTACTTTAGTTCAGCTCACATGTAACCATTTGAACTGAATAATTTTGGAATTTTCTTTTCTAGGCATATTATAAACAAGATTATCATGATTTGATAGCCAAGGGGCCCAGCGTGTTTGGTGATGCTATTCCATTTACTCTAGCGAAAACCTCAAGAAACATTGCTAGTGATGTAAGTATCAGCTCCAGGTGCATTTTGTGTCATTTCTCAATAAAAATTGTATTGGATATGCCAGATTGTGAGCCCCTAACAGTCTCTTTGGAGTCACGAGGGTGAATAACAGATTCTGAATGTTCTAAATGTTAATTTAAGTAATAAATTCTCTAATAGAATATTTACATTCTAATGCTCAGCTGGAGTAATTGAAAATAACTCTGCTGAGTTCAGGGGAGTTATGTCCACTTACACTGAGACTCTGGCTTTTAGAATTTAATGCTTGTTAAAAAGTCTTATAAAAATATTCTAATCTAGTTTTCTTAACAAAACCACTAATGAGGCCTCTTTAGAGTAAGCAGATTGCCCTTTACCTGCTCTGATTTGAGATAGATACACTGTGATCTTAACTAGCTTTGTAAGTTGGCTCTGATCCTGCATCTTTGTGACATTTTTTCCTTATCCTCTTTCAGAAGTTGCTAGCCTCTTCTGGCAGACACGCTATATATTGAGCCTCATTGTTTGGTCATCGTTTCCCCCAGGGTTTTGTGTCATTCTGTTTCCACTTTCTCTGTGTGGGCAGTGGGA